TGTTCAGGGTTGCTTTGGCTATCCGGGGTCTTTTGTGCTTCCATACAAACTTAAGGATGTTTTTTTCTAAGTCTGTGAAGTATGTCATGGGGATTTTGATTGGGATTGCACTGAATGTATATATTGCTTTTGGTAGGATGGTCATTTTCACAATATTAATTCTTCTAATCCATGAGCATGGGAGGGCCTTCCATCTTCTGATGTCTTCCTCAATCTGTTTTTCTTTCTTTTCTTTTTCGGTCTTTTTGAGACAGGGTCTCCCTGTAGCACCAGCTGGCATGGAACTCACTATATAGACCAGGCTGGCCTCAAACTCACAGAGATCCACCTGCCTCTGCCTCCCAAGTGCTGGGATTAAAGGCCTGCACCACCAGGCCCGGCTCCAATTAGTACTCTTTTCATTTCCTTCTCCTGTCTATTGCTCTAGCAAGAGTTTCAAGCACTATGATAAGGAGTGGACATAATAGACATCCTTGTCTGCACCTGATAAGACTTCCTTTTTTAAGTTTCCCAGGTTATCTTCAAACTCACTATGAAACCCAGGATGACCTTGAAATTTTTATTTGATTATTATTGATTTATCTTACTTTTGTCTTTTTGAGACAGGGTCTCTCTGTAGCCCCAGCTGTCCTGGAACTCACTATGTAGACCAGGCTGGCTTTGAACTCACAGAGATTTGCCTGCTTCTTCCTCCTGAGTGCTGGGATGAAAGGTGTGCACCACCACATTCAGCTCGGCTTATTATTATTTTTGTTTTTGCTTTTAATTAGGCGTTCGCCATCACACCTGGTTTTATTTTTAAAATATTTTATTTTGGGCCGGGCGTGGTGGATTGTGAGCCTCCACGTGGGTACTGGGAACCCAACCCAAGCCCTCTGGATGAACAGCCTGGGCTCTTAACTACGGGAGCCATCCAGCCCCCCTTTTATTTCTTGACACAGGCTGCCATGTAGCCCAGACTGGCCCCAAATTCAGTGGTGCCAAGGATGACCCTGAACAACTGATCCTCCAGTGGCTAACAAAAGCCTTTTAGATGACATCACCTTCTTAGCACACCTCTGTGAACTCCCCCATAGAGTTCTAACTCACCTGTTTCCCAGCAGACCAGAGATGGACACCCCAGGGTAGAGAGCAACCAGCCACTGGCTGGCCTGTGTTTGTGGCCCAGAGGCTTAGTAAATGTTCCAACTTGGTTTCCCTTCTTCCACTTTCCTGTTTTTATTGGGGGGGGGTGATTGGAGGAGGGAGTTCAGAACCAGAACCTCAGGCTTGCTAGGCCAGAACTGACCACTTAGCCTCCCCAGCCCTCTTCAATGCCTGGAACACACTATACAGCCCAGGCTGGCCTTCTCAGGGAAATCCATTTGCCTATACCTTTGAGCACTGGGATTAAAGGTGTGTGCCACCAAGCGCAGTTTAAATTCAGTATTGTAGCCCAGGCTGATCTTGTATTTGCAATCCTGCTGTCTCAGCCTGTGGAGTAACTCAGACAACAGCACTGAACCCCTTAATAAGGTCCAGCCGGGAGCTGGTTCACCTGTAACTGAGAGCCTGGCACACAGTGGGTGCTCAAAAAATGGGCACCCGTGGGGGACCACATTACTGGCCTGAGTGTCTGGAGGCCTTGGGGCTGGTGGGGTTGGACTTAAGTCAAGTGGAACCTTACAGCTGTCTGCGGCTGCCTGCAGGGGTGGGGGCTGATCCCTCCCACATTCCAAGAGAGTTAGCCTGCTCCAGGGACCTCTGACCAGAGAACCCACCACTTCCCTTTCTGTCCCCCTGACAAAGAGAGGCAGCAGCTGCCCCGAGGCTGCAGGCGGGGGTGTAGGCTGGACAGTGAAGGAGGTGGAGAGGGTGAGGGAGGAGGCGGAAGTGGGGGAGGGGCGGGGTGGGCCGGCCAGAGAAAGGCCGAAAATAGAGGGGGCTGGCTGGAAAGATACTGAAATAGAGAGAAAGCTTGAAGAGACTGAGCTAGGGGAACCAGACAGACAGCGTGAAGAGGGAGGACGCAGCTGGTCTGGCATGGGAGCCCTTGGGGTGTCAGCCCTTCCCCACCCACTAGGTTTGGGTGGCTCACCTGCCCCACGTAACACCGCCAAAGGCTGGGTGGCCGTGGGTGGGGCTGGAATCAAGACTCCTTTCCTGGGGCCCCGCCGGAGGGTGGAGCTGCTGGGGCCCGTGAGGGCGGCTGTACCCTCGGGGCACCCTCTCTGGCCTCCTCCCAGCTCCCCACGCCGAACCACCCCCAGACCTCTGGCATTGCAGTCTTGCAGCCAGGTCCCTCAAACGCCTGTCTGATACTAGCCACCCCTTCCCACCGGTGACTCCGGCCACTAGCCCGGAGCCCTGACCCCTCGTGACCTCCTACCAGTCCTCGGCTCCCTGATCATCCCCTTGGCTGGTTCCGCAAGCCCTACCGTTCCCTGTTGCTGGCCCCCATTCTAGTTTCGTTCTGGAAATTTTTTGTTGATGTTTTTAACACTGACTAGCTCAGAACTCGAAGGTATCTTCTTGCCTCAGCCTCTCGAGCGTTGGGAGGACAGGTGTAGCCACCCATTTCTTGGGGCCCTGCCACACCCATTATTTATTCCTCCAACATCCGGCAAGCTCCTATTCGTCCCACAAAGCGCCCTCCACCTCAGGCTGAGTTGCACGAAAAGTGGGGTGAGGGTCCATTCTCCAAAGTGGAGTGCAGTAGGACATGCCTAGATGTGCAAAGCTGGGGTGCACGCGGCATGCCCATGCAAAGGTGGGTGCACGTGTGGCGGCAACTCTTCCATCCCAGCAGAGCTCTGCCGCCTCTGCATCTCCTCCCCGAAGCTGCAGCATCTCCTCCCCCAAGTCTACAAACACGCGGGCAGCAGGGAGGGGCCGCTGCGCCCCCGCGCCTGCGTACTGCAGGGTGCCAGGCTGAAGCCCCGCTTCTAAGGGGCCTCGCGAACTACAATTGGTGCTTTCAAGTGATTGACTGGCCCTTTCACCAACGATACCTTCAGGAAGGTGGGCGGGGCCTGGACCTCCTGACGCGCAGGCCTGGGCGGGAGGAGTAGCCGCCCTGCGGTGACGTCAACGCCCTTCGCTGAGCGTTGCCTTGACAACCGCGTTTCCGTCTCCGCGGTTGGGGGGCCCTCCAATTCAGCTTTTTCGTGAATGGGAGGAAGAAATGGGGTGAGGGTGGGGACAAGTGGTGCAGGGCTGATCCGCCCCTCTGTGATCCCGGCAGCCTTTGAACGCTCTGTGCCTCAGTTTACCTTTCCTTGCCTATACACATCTGGGTTGATCTGTGCATGTGCTCAGGGCACGCGGGGTGCAGAAAGCATTAGAAATGGGGACTTCTGGAGATATGTCCAAGGAATCCGACCCCCCCCAACACAAAGGCACCTGTAAAATCTCCAATTCCTCACCAGGACTTGGCCTCTAGGTCCCAGGGAACAGGCGCCCCGAGATTCAGCAGGCGCCTCCTTCAGGGTCCCCCCAACAGCTCTGAGTGGCAGGTAGTAGTTTGAGGTTGTCACCCTATGCTCAAAGCCTTGACCCTCGGGGTCGGGGAGCCCCCCCCACCTCTTCCTGAAGCCTCCGAACTCCCCACAAACCTCTCAGGGGATACAGGCGCCCACTGACCCTGAGTCCCTGACGCCACATCCGCCTTCCTGGCGTGGGCCCATTTGGGGTGACTGGACTGTGGAAGAGGCAGGAAGCCCTTGGTGAGAGGAACCCAGCATCCTTGGGGAAGGGATCTGTTCCCCCCCGCCCCCCCCCCCCGCCTCGGTTCTGCAAGCCTAGGGGATCCACCGTGAAAAAAAAAGAAAAAAGGAGCACAGAGGTAACAGAGTCTCTGCCCTGCTCCAGAAGCCTTGGAAGAGGGACCCCCCCCCTTCTCCTCCAGCGCCCTGGGCGAACGGGTCCTTGGGGAGCCCAAGGTTTGCAGGGAGGGAGGAAGAGGTGGGTGGAGCACACTGGGAAGTTCCCAGTCAGAAATGTGAGCCCTGACGGGACAGGGCCGGGCAGGGCAAAGGTTTGTTGAGAGACCTTCGTAGATGGTATGTGAAGGTGTGGCTCGGCAAGGGTAGAAGGTCACTGTGAGGGACTGGGTCTAGCTGCCCACAGCCTGGAGCATGAGGACTGTGGTCTGGCAGCCTGGAACCCTGAGTGCCCCCCCCACCCTCCACGGGTCTGAGTTTGCAGCAGGCTGGACAGTAGTGAGATTCTAGAACTGAAGTTTCTGGGATTAGACCAATGCCTCCCACTCTGGGGATTGTGGAGAAAAAGGTCTGTCCGGATTCCGACTCCCTAGGTCCGGTCCTTAACAGCTCGTCAGAACCGGGAAGCCAGAGGTGGAAGGCCTCGCCCTAGGTGTGACCCCGCCCCACACCCAGAGAGACTTCCGGCCTGGGCTACCAGGAAGTGGCTAGCCCCTCCCTCCTCCACCCAGCAGCTTCCTGCCACCCAACCCCCCAGGCTGGGGAGGGGTATGTAAACCATTTGAGGAACCTGGGCATTGCACTCCAGAGGTCCAGGGATCACCTTCAGAGTTAAGGCCTCAAAACTCACACTTTGTTCGTTTTCTGTAATTTATTTGAAATTCGGGTCTTTTAAGTTTTTTTCCCCTCAAATTTCATTTTTTAACAAAGGAGACTTGGGTGATGTGGATGCCCACAGCTCAACCCCGAGGGTGGCTAATGCTATCTGGGGGAGGGCCCCTCTGAGGGTCAGGGTTACCATGGATGGGTTTCTGCCTGAGGCCTCCATCCTCATCTTGAGGGGTGCTCGCAGTTAAAAATTAAAACCCCTCCCCAAAAAAAACATTTAAATAGGTATCCAAGAGTTTTTTGTTTTTTTTTTAAAAATCTAACACCCACTTTTTATCCCCATTTTTCTTGTTTTTTGAAAAAAAAAAAAAAAAAGACAAAAAATTGTCCCCTACCCTTGGACCCCTCCCCACCCACCCCCACAAAAGTTTACAGCTACAGTCAATAAACACATGTTTACATCCGAAACCATTAAGTTTAAACATGTAATGGGGGAAGGCAAGGACTTGGGTTTCACCTACAAGACCAAGAGGGATGGGGACAGGTGGGCTGTAGACCCTAGACAAGACAGATGGGTGGAGGATGGACTCACATCCCACATAAAATTAAGTGTGGAGGAAAAAAAGCCAAAAACTACAAAAAACTTCACCCCCCATTGAAATGGCCCCAATAACATGGAGGGCTGTCTGTCCCTTGCCCCCCCCCAAAAGCAGGGCCCAGCAGCACCCCTCTCCAGAGGGCAGGAGTAACACAGTCACAGCTGAGCACCCCCCCAAGTCCACATCCCTCAGGTTGGGCCTGGGGTTAAGAGGTATAGGGGTGTCTCCCTGGACCACCCAAACCATCTCCCCCAGTTTTTAATTTGTTTTTCCCCCAAGAAAATAGCAACCACTACTGGCTCAGTCAGAAAAAAATGAAGTCTATAAATAGTCCCCAAGCTCTGTCAGGCAGGAAGGCTGGGGAAATATGGGGGTGTGGGGAGGTAGGAGACAGTGGGGGGGCCGAGTGACCTGGGACAGGGTAGCAGGAAGCTGGTACCTTCACTTCCTGCCAGGAAAAAAGGGGAAGTCTTGGCCTGACCCAGGTCAGTCAGTCCCAAATGGGGTTCCAGGTTGACCCAGCTTTTGTGGGTAGAGTGGGTCCCAGCCAGGCTTGGTGGCATGGGCCTGTCATCCCAGCACAGGGAAGACTGAAGCAGGAGGATCACCTTGAGTTAAGTGAGCATCCTGAACAAAGTTGGCTTCTAGGAGTGAGTGCAGTGGGGGGGTTGGGGGTGGAGGATCCTGCTGGCCTGAAACAGGGCCAAGTCTGTAAGGGGGTGGTGTTTGGACACTTGTCCTGGGGTAGCCAGCCCTCATCTGTAAAGTGCTTTTTGGAGAATTTACATTTTGACTTAAAAACAAATACCTGAATCAGGTTGTGGCAGGTTGGGGGGAGAGCACGGAAGGATTGCAGGTGGGCGGCTTCCTCAGTCTGGGCCATCTGAGAACAGATTGCTACATATTTGGAACTGGTGAAGGCAGGAGGAAAGGGTCCCCCCCAACCAAGAGGCCACCAGAAATTGGGGGGGACAGACAGTGAGAGAGAACAAGAGGTGGGCATGTAACCATGGGACACAGGGCAGACATCAGCATTATGAGCTTAAAAAAAACAAAACAAAACAACAGCAAACAAAAATAAAGGCGGGTGAGTGGGTAGAGGTGACCTCCTGTCTGCCAGAGCTGGGCTGTCCAGCATCCAGGCTGCTGTGTTGTCCCCCACCCCACAATGGGGCTGGGGTAGGGGATGTGACAGATGTCAAGGGGACTGGATCCTTTAAGCCACCACAAACTCTGACTGCAAGTCTGGGTTGACTTCAGGCTTCCAAACAGAGTCCTCAAAGTCGAGGCCCAGGCCTGAAGCCTCGCTGGTGCTCCCACCAACCCCACTGCTGCTGCTGTCGCTGCGGCCAGCCTTGCGGCTGGGTGGCCAGTGGTAAGGGCCTCGGGCATCCCGTCGGGCCTTCCTACGGAGCCGTTTCTGCTGCAGTAAGAGCTGCAGGCGTTCAACTTTGCAACGTGTGGCACGGTTCTCTGTCTGTCGAAGACGGTCCCCTGCAAAATGGGACAGGGTTCTGTGACTCACTGAATTCCCAAAAAGTCTGCAGCATCCCCAGAGGGAAGGGGTGTGACCATGCCCACTGCCTGTTGGCCATCTCTCATTGGCAATGCTGTGGGTAGAGATGTGAGCTGTGTACAGAGTGTGTCTTGCATGAGACAGTGAAATAAGGGCCTGGCAGGGCAAATCTGTCACCAGCTGCTAAGGAAACTGAGAAAGATTTCAAGTTCAAGACCAGCTTGGACAACTTACTGAAAACCATTCAAAATAGAGTAAGAAGGCTTGGCTTAGCATTAGAGCCCCCAGTCCACCAGTGAGGGACTATAGCTAAGCTAAAAGACAAACCCAAAAACTTTAAGTCTGTTTCTAGAGCCAAAAGCCATGCAAACTTATGCTTCAGTTTCCCCTTTATGGACAGGGTTGTAGGCAGCAGGTGACTAGGGCCAGGCTAACCAGAGGACACTGTCCTATAGGACTTGGCTTGAGGAACAGCCTGGCAGTTAGCAAATAAGAGAGGGTTTCCTGGCCTTCCATGTTGCGGGGGGGCATCTTGGCCCCACTTTGAGGGCCAGAACTGACACAGCTATTGATGGAGAAGCCAAAGGCCATCTGGGGATGGGGCCTGGAGGGTGGGTGAGGAGGAAGTGGGGCCAGAGCCCTTGGGGGACTCACAATGACACTTTGTGTGTTAACACACACTTGGGTCCTTTTCTCAGGGCTGGGGCAGGTCTAGGGGGTGCAGCAGCTGCTAGCTCCAGGGGGGCCCCAGGCCTGTCAGCTGTTCCCTCGCCTACCAGCACACACAGAGGAGGCCTTGAGTGGGGAGGTGGGGTGAAGATGGCAGCACTTACCAGGGGGTTTACACATTCGGATCTGGCTCTGGCCCTGTAACAGGGAGGCGGAGGAAGTGGCCGCCAGCTTCTCACAGGAGGTAGATTTGGGGGTGAGGTCAGGGCCTGGTGAGGCAGGTGAGCACTGGGCATGGCAGCGGAGCTGGGTCAGTGATGGGGGCATGCCCTGGTAATGCCGTGTGGCACTCAGCAGGTCATTCAGAATCTGCAAGATTGTGCCAATGTCCCGTCGTGGCCTACCGCTGCTGTCTTGGCAGTTGGGGTGCAGTGTACCTACAAGGGGAAGGAACAGTGAACTTGAGATACTCAAGTTACCACAGTGGGGCAGTGAGTGAATGCAGAACACATGTATCTGAACATGGGGAACATGGGCAATACAGGCAAATGCAACCCAGACTGGTGGTGCATGTCTCATCCCAGCTACTTCGAAGGAGACAGGAGGGTCTCAAGTTCCTGGACAGCCTGGGCTAACAAATCAAGTTACAAGTCAGCCCACGGAAGTTAAGATCTGTCTCAAAGAATGCTGGGCATGGTGACTGACACCTCTGATCCTAGCAGAGGCAGGTAGGTGGATCTCTTGAGATTGAAGCCTGCCATACAGTAAGTCCCAGGCTAGCTGAGGCTACAGGGAGACTGTCTCAAAACAAATCAATTCTGGGGGTAAGGGGTTGTGGCTCAGGTATAGAATGAGAGCCCCAAATCCCCCAATGAAGGGCTTCTAAGAGTGTTGGTTCAACAAATGGGGATCTCCTAGTTTCTATCCTAAGGCCATACAGAGAAAACCCAAAGCACCTAGCCACAGCTGTGCAGTTGGCCTGTCCTGTGGTCATACACATGCATGATCCAGACTCCTGCCTTTAATGAGCATACAGAATACATCAGACCCAATGGGAGTTGGGGGGTGACACCCACCAGAGAAGGTCCCTGAGAAGACCCCGGGGGCATGGTTCACGAAGCTCTCAATGACTGCGCCGGGTTTGCGGGAGCGAGGGGTAGGGCTGCTGCCAGGGGTGGACGGGGATGTGGTGGCCACACTGGCTCCGGGGTTGATGCCCTCTGTGGCTGCTGGAGAACAGTCCATCTGCTGAGAGGAAGATGAGGCAGTGAGCGTAGTGTGCCCCCTCACCTGGTCAGAGTCTAATCCCTCAAAACTCCCTATACCAAGGTTGGGGGGTCGCCCAGCACTCCCAGACCCCAGGGTCCACCTGAAACCCACAAAGTCTAGCTCTGCCATCCAGATGAGCCCCCAAATTCTTACCGGGCAGGAGGTGGAGGCTGCATGGGATCGGAAGGAACCGGTTGTGACAGGTGAGGTGGATGTAGGTGAAGGGCTGGTGGGTACTGGGGGAATTCGGGCAGCAGTGGACACTGGCCGGCAGGGAGAGGACAAGGTGGCGGTCACTCCAGACTCTCCCCGGGCAGCCGCAGCTGCAGCAGCCGCAGCGGCCAACACATGGCGATGTTGTAGTGGGGCATGCTGGGCAGCCAGCTGCAGCTGGACAAACATCATGTGGTCCCCGACTCTCAGGGCCAGGGTCAGTGGTGACCGGCCAGAGAGGAAGTCACTGACCTACAGAACAGGGAGAAAACTACCCATCAGACTATGGGGTCCCCCTCATTCGTGATGCCCCCAGCCCGGCCCGGCTGCCACCCACCCCCCAGCAATGTGTGACCTGGGGCCTCTCGCCGCCCCGCTCTGGGCTCTGGGGTCCCTGTCGGTGCCACGGACGCTTAAATAAAATCAATCTGTGTTTCTGGAAGCCTCCTCCGGCAGCCCAGCCCGTCCCGGGCGTCGCTGGGGGCTGTGGAGGGGACAGAGGCGGGTCAGATTTGAAGTATCTGGCTTCCCCCAGCCAACTTGGGTCTTTTTAAGGAGGGGGCTTTGACACCAAAACCAGATGGGGTGGGGCCTGGCTGAGGGTTACTGCCCCCTGTCAAATTACCCTCACTTCTTTTTCTCCTCCCTGGCTCCCCAGAGCCTCTGCCCAACAATCTAACAACCTTTCTCAGTTTCCTCCCCAATCTCCCAGCTAAGTTCTTGGAGGAATTCAGGGTTAACCTTTGGGTTCCCAAGATAAATATTTTTGTGTCCTGGCAGGGAGGAGCAAGCATACACTGCAGGGAAGGGGGGTGGGTCTCCAATCCTCAAGCTACCCAAAGGTTCCATCACACCCTCCTTAATCTGTGGTGGGTGGATCTGTGGGTCTACCTGACCCCCTGCTGCACCCAGCACCTTGCTCTCCAACCTCTGGGGCCCTGGTTAGCTGCCTTAGCCTCCCCAGGGGCTGGGGTGGGGGTGGGTGAGGCTTTCTGGGAAGTGACAGAGCCTGTGACTCACTTCGGACCGCCTCTTGCCCAGAACTCCCTCCCTGGGCTGTGCTGGCTGGCAGAGGGCTGGGGGTGGGAGGGGGGATGTAGGGAGGGGACAAAGAGGTGGGCTGTCAGGGTGAGGCTTCACCCCAGCTCCAGGCCCCAGCTTTCCCCTCTGCAGGTTGAAGCCTGCAGGGGTTTCTTGAGTAGCTCTCCCCCCTTTCTGCCCAGAGTGGCCAACAGTAGGGCACAACTCTGTGCCAAGCCAGGAAGCAGGCTCCACCCAGCACCTCCTGCCAACCACAGCCCCCACCGATAGGCAGAAGAGGAATTCACCTGCAGTGATCCCCCCTTCTCTCTGTTCCCCTCTCCCAGGGATGAGGTACCATCCAACTCCAGGGGAACCCCAGTACCCACCCCACAAGGAGGCAGGAGGCTACAAGTCTTCATCCAATGGGATGAGGGCCTGAGGGCAGCATCTGCCACTGGGGTGGACAGGCAGGTTTCCTGTGGCCACCCTGAGGCTCGGGGATCATTCCCACCCCCTTTTGGGAGGGCAGATTGTTAAGTCCATGTCATGGGGGAGGGGAGGGTGGCGCGTCAGGAATGGTGAGGGCCCCTGGGCAGAGGCCAAGAAAAGAGAGGAAAAAAAGTAACTCTCAGAAAAGTGGGACCCTGCTCCGGCAAGGCCCAGCCTCCCTGCTGGCCTCTTACTAAATATTTTCTTAACATCCTGTCTAGGGCTCCTGGCCCAGGGCTGGGTGCCCCCGCCAGCCTGCTCCTCCCCTTTTTCAGGATAGAGAACAAAAGACTAGAGAGAGAGAATAAGAAAGGAGGAGGAGGGGGCCGTAGGGTGACTTCACCCCCTCTGGGTCACAGGAATTCCTGTCACCCTGCTCCCCCCAAAAGGCACAGATCTACCCCCCCAGCCAGATGGGGGGGAGACGCAAATGACACACTCTCCTATGGGAGGTAGGGCTGAGTTGCAGAGGACACAGCCTCTTGAAACTGTGGGCCAAGGTCAGGCACAGGCCTGGGAGGGTTGTGAAAGATCAGCCAGCTCCACCAGCTCCACCCCCCAACACCAAGGCAGCCACCGTGGGAGAGAAAATGATCAAGGTTAGGTGGTCAGGTGCTGGGTGGGGGGATAGGAGAGGAAGTAGGAAGCTGGGGTGACCTGGCCAAGCTGGTACCAAAGGCAGGGCTTGGTCCCCTCCCCCACAGGCAAATAACCCAAGGCTCTCCCAGGGTGTCCCTGGAGTCGCCTTGTCCCTGGGGGGGGGGCTACTGCAGCCCCTCCCCACATGTGGGGTTTAGGAGGGTGGTGGGTTCTTACCTGAGTCTCGGTCAAGCTTTCCAGAGCTTGCATAACAGACTGCTCGGGCCTGGAGGCCTGGGGCTACAAAGAGAGGAGTGGAGAGGGGATCCTGAGTGTGGGTTCAAAGCAGAGGGGGGAACACTGTGCCTACGTGGGGGGGGGCGCTCTAAAAAAGACCAGGAATAATGGTTCTACTTTAAAAATGAGGTGGCCGAGGATTGCCCGACGGGACGTCTGGGTGTGTGTATGGGGTTTGGGGGGGTGCCTCCAGGGCACGCGGCCCTCCAAATCATTTACCATGAGGCCTGCCTCCACCGTGGGCACCAGCGTCAGCTTGCTTCCATCCCCCACGCCGAATTCCTGAAGCTTCCCCGAACTGAGCCGGCTGAGGGGGGGGAGGAAGGAAGACAGTGAGACCGGAGACTACACAGAGACGCGGAAGCGGAGGCCGCGGGGGAGGGCTATACGTGTGTGGGGGGGTGTAGAGAAGCGCTTCCCACTCCCAGCGGTACCATCCACAGCCCAAAGTGCGTGTGGGTCCTGAGCCCCTTCAACACAGCGACTGTATCTTTTCCTCCTAGGTAGCCCCAAGATCAGAGGCAAGCAATTCCCCGCCATCCCATCTTTCAGGAGAGTTTTCCCACCACAGCCAAGGGCTCTTCGCTACCCTCCCTCGCGCACCGCCCAACTCGCCGACCTACAAGTCCCCAATTCCTGCCCGGGCTCGACTTCTGTGGGCGCTAGTGGGGCTTCGACCGTTTTTTTTTTTTTTTTTTTAAGACAGGCCTTCGGGGGGCAGTGCGTACCCGGGTTCCCACTCCTTCCCTCCCAGGCGCAGGCTGCAGCCGTTCAAACAAAGGAGACCCTCCCCCTACCGCCCCTCCCCCACAGGGCCCCTCGGCAGGGATGGACACCGTGTGTCCCCAGAGGCCCGAGGGGGGGATGGTGGGGTGTGTGGTGGTGTCGGTTGGGGGGGCGGAGAAGTCTCCCAGTCCAGGAGGCGATTTAAATACCAAGAGTGTGTGTGTGGGGGAAGGGGAACAAAGGGGGGCAGCCAGACGGCGAAGTGAGGGGAGAAAGACAGCCAGACGCATGAGGGGACCGAGAAATAGAAACAGAAGGCAGGCGAGGCCTGGGAGGACAGGAGGGGGTGGCTGCGGGGTGCACACCCCCTTGAAAAATTAACGCAGAGAGGCGGAAGCCCTTCCAGTGATCCCGGGGACAGGTCTTGCCTTTGTGTACCAACCAAGCAAGGGGTGGGAGACGGGGGTGGGGGGTGGGAGGTGGTCGAGGCTAACAAGGCCGAGCAGAGGGCGCCCGAGAGCGCGCACCGCGCCCCCGCGTCCCGTCTGGCCGCCCCCAGCTCCCCCGCGCGGCGCGCTCTTTGTTCCCGCCCGGGTGCCCCGGGACCCGGTGCCAAAGGGGGGCGCGCGGGCGGGGGCGACGCGCGCCACCTACGTGTCTTTGTGGAGTAGCGCCAGGCGCTCCTTGGGGACCTTAAGGCGCTGGGACAGCCTTTTGCGCAGTCCTTCCACGGTCTCGTCTGGAGGCACCGACAGGTCGTAGCGGGTCCCGGTGGTGCTGTGAATCGTCAGGGTGATGGGTGCTGCGGACTCATTTGCTGGGCTCAGGTCGCAGGCGCCGCCGGGGGCCCCGCGCCGGCAGCTGCCGGGCTGCGGCTCCATCCCCGGGGCGCACAAAGGGCCTGAGGGGTGTCCTTGCGGGGATCTTCGTGGGGAAGTCGCCTCCAATGTCCACGCCTCGACTCCCCCTTACAAAAAATGGGGTGGTCCTCTTCTGTCTGGGCGCTTGGGAAGACGGGTAGTACGTGTGCCCCTCGGGGAAGGTCCCAACGTTAGAAAAGGGGGATCACAGCCAGCAAGAATCCAAGGGGCGCTCCGGACTCGCGTGGGCTCAGTGGCTGTGCACCGGTGATTGGGGTGTGCGATCTCGGATCCTTCAAAGGCGACCTGGGCGAGGTGCAGGGTCCCCAGCTCCGTCCCTCGGGGGGCTCACGGTGCCTAGAAGGCTTTCTCGGGTCGTGGTCCCCCACGCGCGTCCCTTTTCCCCTTAGCAACTGCCGCAGCCACCTCTCGCAAAGATCTGGGGGTGAAAGTAGCGAAAAAAAAAAAGTTATCATGTATCAAGGTTCCGCCGGGCGGGGCCTCCGCCCCCTCCCATTCACTACTTACACCGCCGGCCTCGCGCTGGCCTATCAGAGAGCTCGGACCGCCCAGTCGGCCGCGCTCCCGAGCCAATGGGAAGCAGTGCTGAGCTGCCCCACGTGGCAGCCGGACCGGCCCTTGCTCCACCCCCGGGCCCAGCACGGCCAATGGAACCCGAGGGGGTTGTGCTGATGCCGCTCCAGATCCACCCGCGCCCCCAGCCATTCATAAGACCCAAGGCCGCAACAAAAGGCGGGCGGAGGGGGGAGGGACCGCGGGGGGCCGAGGGGACTGAGTAGGGGACCAAACACACCCTCCCCTCCGGGGAGGCCCTCAAGGCCGGAAAGCCATCTTGGCGTGGGGAGGGGGCGCCGGCCTTTGTTCCCGGACTGAGGGAGGAACAGGAAACCCGGGGGCCCAGCTGGGTCGGTGCGGGAAGCAGCTGCCTCGTGGTCGTGGGGTCCCCGGCCGGCACAGGCTCTTCTTCTACCCCCGTGGGTGGATGTGCATGGGTGTTGGGGATCCTGGGCGGAGCGCACGGTTTTGGGCGGCGCCCTGCACCTCGGTGACGTGGCCACAATGGGGTGCGCCGCTACCGAGTGGGTGCCACCTCGCGTCCCAGCCTAACCCACTGCCTCCTCCTTTTTCTGTCTTCCCTCTCCTCCCTCCCACTCCCATCCTGGGTCGAGCCCAGTTTCCCGAGATGCCCGTGATGTGACGCGGCGGCGTCCCTGGCTGCGCCCCCGCGCGCCCTCTGCAGGACCCACCCGGGAGGGAAAAGGGAGTCAACTGTGCGCTCAGGCTGGGCCAAGTGAGGAATGCACAGGACCTGCATATCCTACTGAAGTGGATCCTTTTTAAGACTGAACAGCCCCAGGAGACTTGAAGACCCCATAAAAGGGGGGAAACTGAGTCGCGATTCCCAACTAGTTCAAGGTCATTGGAGGGGGAAGGGGAGTCCCCCGGGTGTAGAGGGCGGGGAGTACCCCAGGGGAGGGGGCTGCAGTCCCGCCAGGGCGGTGCCCTTGCGTGGGGCCCCTCCTACCCCACCAGCTTGGGGCGGGGGTGCTCCCTCTCCAGAGGCACCCCCAATGCTGCCAGCTGAAAGAACAAAAGACAGACGGGGTAAACTGGGCAATCTTGGATGAACGGAGACTCTCCCTCTTCCTAATTTCAGCCCCTCTCACTCACCGTGGGCAGGTGGGCCTGGGTTCCCCCCACGTTTCCAGACGACTGGAGTGCGTGGGAACAGCGCGAGGTGGCCTTGCCAGTCTGGCCCGAGCGAGCGGCCCCGGAGCCTTTATCCGCGCCGCCCTCCCCGGGGTGGAGTTTAGGGGGTGGGGGGGCGGGCTGCTGTGACGCACTGGCCCCCGCCCCTGCCTGCCGGCCAGGGCCCTGAGGTGCTTTGTGCCTGGGACACCCCACCTTAAGACGCAACCAGCACGCAACTAGCAGGAGCGCCTCTAGGCGGCCACTGATTCGTGGGGCTTCCTATCTTATGTGGGACTTGGTGCACCCCAAGATTAGTCTTGGGTTGTACAGCTGGGTGGGCTGCCCCGCCCCCTTTTTGCCAGGCTGATTTATTTGCCTGGGGGCGCCTCGTGGGGAGGGGACCCTGAGTCAGCAGCCTGGGTCTGGAACCAGCCAGTGTCACCTGCCCAGTCTCTACCTCTAGTGGTGACCTCACAGGCATTTGGGCAGCAATGCAGCCAGCTCTGGACGGTAGTCCCGTATGACCTCTGCCAGGACCCAGCTACTCTGAACCAGGCTGTTTGTGGAGAGCCTGTTAGCACCCCGTGAATTCATCTGCACACAATGGCCCTGGCCCTTAGGGTGTACGCCTACCCAGGCTGTGCACCAGGAAAGCGTCCCTCCAAAGAGACCAGACTGTATCTTGTGTGGGCTCAGATGAATGTTTTTTTTTTTTTTTCTATGGGTGACCCTGGTTGTGGCCAGGGTCCTCTGTCCTGTCCACTCATGTCCTGAGAAGGGGGTCTGGACCCTCATCTTTCACTTCCTGTCCATCTGTCTGGTCCCCCACTTTATCTGTCCAGAGCACTTCCACCTCCACCCTGGCTTTGGGCGCCCCTCCTAAGGTGGGTCCTTTGGCTTCTCCCTAATACCCAGGACTGCTCCCCTCACTCTGAGCAGATGCACCCTGACACTCAGTCTTCTAGAGCCAGTCGGTAGTCAGGCGCTGGGGTTTGAAGAGTGAATAAGAGTTGGTGGCAGATGTTCCTGGAAATGGAACCATCAGTTATCAGCAAGAGTTGTAGGAATAAAAAGTTCTAGGATCCTAGCTGTGTTATAGACCTTTAATCCAAACACTTGGGATGCAGAGACAGGCAAATCTCTGTGACATCTAGTCCAGCCGGGGCTACAGAGACCATCTCAAAAAAAATCAAACCCAACCAAACCAAAATTGTAGAAGGGGAAATGGACATGGCAAAGAGTCAGGCTTAGGTTGGGGGTGTGAGAGGGCTGGGAGGTCCAGGGGTGTGGGCAGGGCTCTGGGAGGCATCAGTGCCCCTGGTCTGTGGGCTAGTATCACAAAGGTGTATAGACTTGCTCGTGTACCCCCAGGGTAAAGTCAGTGGCTCAGGAAGGGGACAGATCTGAAGCTCTGGCCTCCCCAGGCCAGGCCCTGGCCTGTGGGAAGGTCCCACCTTGGGGCATCCTGCCTGCCTGCCTCCTGCCTGGGGACAATGAGTGGCCAGGACAGTCTGTCCTGTCCTGAGGCTCCAGACCTTACCTCTCCACAGAGCCACAGTCCTGTGCTGGTGGGGAGGGGACATGGTCCTGCTGTAGGGTGCACTAGCCCAGGTCAGGGCAGGACACCCTGGGACCAGCTGTTGTTGACATGGCCTGCCAGAGTTTTGTGACTCTCTTGATGATTGACAGTTCCCAGGGTTGTTGGTCAGGACCTATGCTCAAAGCCTAGACAAAAGGTGAGTCCTGGGGAAGAGGCTGTCCTGGGACCCAGGGGCCTGAGACAGCTAGGCCAGAACCTGCGTTGGGGCCCTAGGCTGACCCTTTAGTGACTTGAGAACACCCCCAGGTTGCAAGTGTTTGTAGGGCTTTGCCACATACTCACATCCACATCAGGCCTGGGGCCATGGAGAGTCACTGGCATGGGACCCTGACACAGGGTGACAGACCACCCATCCGTCACCCCACACACCTGGCTCGGGTGACCTGGCTTGGGCCCTGTGTGCTCACTCTCCTGGAATCCCTATATCCACCTAGGCCCTCAAGAGGTGGGAGGGAAGCCAGCTCAGCATGGGACCACCCCAGGGGTGCAGAGGGGGTGGGGCGACCACAGCCAACAGTCTAGGGGGCCCCACCCCATCTGGAGCCAGCCAGGGCCCTGAGTGCCCAAGGAGGTGCCAATAGCACTGGAGACTGGGAAGGTGGCCAGGCCAGAGCCACCCACAAGCCAGGCATGCCCAGGGCTGGGCCTCTCTGGAAGCAGATGGGGCCCGCCTCCTCCCAGGGTCCCCAGGGTGTGGTGGGGGCCTCCACAGAAGGCCTGGCTGGTGGTCAGGGTGCTGGGCCTGGCCAGCAGCTGCAGCCACACCCACCCACCGGCGCCAGCCCTGCCCTCCTTCCCCAGCCTCAACCTGAGCCTGCCCAACCCAGCCTGGCAGGCCGCACCCGGCAAACAGACACCCTGCATCCCACCCAGTCATCAGAACCCTGGGGTGCCAGCACCCTATGTAGCCTGGGGACCAGGACAGATGGGGAGAGTCCCAAGTTGGCATAGAGAGAGAACAGCACTGCAGTGGGTTCCTGCATTTAATGGGGACAGGCTGGGGCTGGACAAGTGGCCCTGAGCCAGGGCCCCAGGGTGGGGGAGCCCTGTGGGTTGTGGGATACTGGAGTAGAGGCTGGCAGGTTGAAGGCACCTCAGCCTCCAGCAGATGCTTCCCCCTGGTGGCCACCTCCGCAGGGACCTGAGGACACAGGGATCTAGGACCTCAGGAGCTTCCAGCCTGCCTCAGTTTCCCTGTGGGGCTGGTAGAGAGCCTACTCCAGAGCCTTCACCAAGGCCTCATTGGCTTCGATGCGGATTTGGATCTCTGCCCGAGCAGCCTCATCTGCAGCACCTGCCAGCTCCAACTGTGCCTTCTCCAGGTTAGCCTTGGCTGCCTGCAAGGGATGTGGGGTGAGGGATGGAGGCAGGGCCCAGGGGGCCCCTGTTCCAGCAGCTCCCTCCTGTCCCAACCTCATTTTCCCCTGCCACATTCTTACCCCCAGGTCCAGCATGTCCAGTGTCACAGCCTCTTCGGCCAGTAACTGCACAGAGGAGTCTGCATTCACAGTGACTGAGCCACTGCTCACTGCAGAGGGACAGGATCAAAGGCCTGAGAGCTGACCTCAGGGGTCCCCACAGCCTCTGCACAAGCACAGGTCTGTGACCTGCAGCATTGGCCCTCAGGCAGGTAGCAGGAGAGGATGGGGGCTTGCCTCATCTGAGGCCCAAGGACTCTAGGTCAAGGTGAGCTTTGAGGGAGACTTCAACTCTAATCAAGTAAAAAGGGGAGCTGGGGCCCAGTGCTTGTAGTTCAGTGGGTAGAGTGCTCTCCTAGAATGCATAAGGCCCTGAGTTCACCCCCAGCACCCCATAAATGTGGGGTGGCAGTGACCCATGGCATCCCACTACTGGGGAAGCTGAAGCAAGAGAATAAAGAGTTCAGGGTCAGCCTTGGCTACACAGTGAGTTTGAAGCCAATCTGGGCTACATGAGACCCAGTCTAAACACAAAAACAAAAAAATGTAAATTGAGGAGACTGGAGAGTCAGCCAGTGGTTAAGAGCACTGACTGCTCTTGCAGAGGACCTGGGTTCAGTTCCCAGCACCCACATGGCAGCTAACTCTGTAATTCCAATTCCAAGTGATCTGATGCCCTCTTCTGACCTCTGTGGGCATTGCAGGTATATGGTGCACATACTTAATGTGCACCAAAACACTCATGCACAGAACATTAAAATGCAATTTTTTTTTTCCCCCTTTTTGGTCTTTTTGAGACAGGGTCTCCCTGTAGCCCCAGCTGGCCTGGATTTGCTATGGAGACCAGGCTGGCCTTGAACTCACAGAGATCTGCCTGCCTCTGCCTCCCGACTGCTGGGATTAAAGGCATGTGCCACCATGCTCAGCCCTAAAATACATTTAAAAAAAAAAGCTTATGCACTTAGCCCAGTGTGGTGGCACATGCCTTTAAGCCCAGCACTTGGGAGGCAGAGGCAAGTGGATCTTTGTGAGTTTAAGGCCAGCCTTTGAAACCATGGGTCCACCAGAGCTGTTCATGGGAGGCCAAGCCCTCATCTGGGGTTCTGGGAAGGGAAGTCGATGTGGAAGGTGTGTTGATCCCTCAGACTGGCTGGCCTGTCTTGAAGGCCCTGCCCACCACTCACCAAAATACTTAGTGCTGGTCCCATCCTCGGCATGGACCACAACCATCCCGGGCCGCAGAACTTGCAGTGTGGGTACGTGAGATGCCAGGATGCCAAAGGCTCCAGTCATTGTGGGCACATCCACCTGCCGGACATTGGCACCATCGAAGAACACCTGCCAGGAGAGCACAGTGAAAGGTAGGTGTCTCTGGGACTTGCCCCTTGACAGCAAGTCCCTATGTAGACCCTTGGGGTTGGCTTCCTGGAGATGGAGGTGCTGATAACCCCAAGTCTATCCTCGAAGATGCTTGGGAAGCTGAGACAAGAGGGTTGAAAGTTCAAAGCCAACCCCCACCTACATCACGTTCAAGGCCAGGCAGATACAGGCTGAGACCTTGTCCAGGTACTGTACAGTGTGAGATTGTGAGGCCAGGTTATGGGGCAAAGCTTGGGAGTTCAGGCAACACTCCCAAGCAGTAGGGCTTCAGGTCTGGGTACATGTAAGGATCTGTTGGCTTCCCCAGGGCAGTGTTACTCCCTGGAGGCAGGACCTGGGGGTGGGGGGAGCATGTCTAAGTGACCTATTAAAGGGTCCAGGTCTCCTCTCTCTGGAGAGGCAAGGCCTGGGGTCTAAGTGACCACCTGGAGGGCGGGGTCTGGGGTCTAGGTCTCCCCCAGGAGGGCGGGACTTGGGTCTAGGTGACATCCTCTGGAGGGCAGGGCCTGGAGGTGTCTAAGTGACCTCTTAAGGGGTGGGGCGTCGGGTCCAGGTCTCCCCTGGAGAGATAAGGCCAGTGATCCAAGTGACCCCCTGGAGGACGAGGCCTGGGTTCTAGGTCTACCCTGGAGGGCGGGGCCTAGGTTCTAGGTCGGCCCTGGAGGGACCGGGCCTGGGGTGACTGTGCTCAGCGCGTACCTGTGTCGGCGATGCGAAGGTGAAGGACATCTGCCCGGGGCCAGATGGGGCGGGGGCTGGGGCTGGGGCGGCCTCCGCAAAGGTTCGAGCCTGGAGCAGTAGGCGGCGCAGCCCCAGGCGGCGGAGCAGCGCGGCGGGCATCATGGCGGCAGCAGACTCGAGCAGTTAGGGCAGAGGACACACTCGGACCTTGAGGGAGGTCTTGAGGGAGAGCCTGCAGGACCACGCGCGGGCGCTTCTGGGAAGCGCAGTTCCTACGATTGCGCACGCGCTCACTACGACTCCCGACGGTCCCCGCGAGACCTGACGCCACGGCGGCCCGCGGCTGTATGTGCTTTATATCCAGGGAGTTGTTCTTCCCTACTGGAATCGACCAGAGGAGACGTTATGCTGAAGTTGCTCTACGCGGGAATTCTGAGAGTTGTAGTCCCCCTCCCCCTGTGTTTCAATGGGGCACAGATGTCTGTAGAATGCTGTAAGATGCGGCGTATTCTGGGAGTTGTAGTTTTCCTTTGCAAGCCCCGCCTTCTCCCGCAATCAGGCCCGGGCGTCCGTAGGATGCACTTAGCGCGGCTTTTTGGGAGTTGTAGTTTTTCTCTGCCCCTCCTGTCTTGTTGCTCAAGGCATCTTGTTAGATGCTGCGGTGCCTACTACGAGTGGTAGTTTTCCTCCGATACCGGGTGGGAAAAGGTTAAGCTGTTCTACCCCCACCCCCAGGCATGCACTCCAAAGTCGCTGACGACTCCCTCCCACGGACAGTGGGCTGTGAAGCGTGTCTGTCATCCCAACTTCGGTAGGCAGAGGCAGGCGGGTCTCTGTGAGATCGGGGCCAGCCTGGGCTACATAGCGAGTTCCAGGCCAGCTGGGGCTACAGGGAAACCCTGTTTCAAAAAACACATAAATGAGGACTTTTGAGCTGGTTCAGCGGTTAAGAGCACGGTCTATTTTTGCAATGGACCTGTGTTAGATTCCCAGCACCCACACAGCGGCTAAAACCATCTGTCACTCCAGTTCCAGGATATCCGACACCTTCTTAGCTCCGTGGGCACTGCACGACATGGGCGCAGGCATGCTGGCACATGCTGGCAATACATTCATGCTGGCAATACACTCATACACAAAAAATAAACAGTTTAAAAAACATTTTTTGAAAACCAAGTACAGCCACTGGGTTGTGCACCCCGACACCGGCAGAGGGCGCCCCAAGTCAGGAAACTCGCTTGCTTCTCTCTAAACCCCTCCCCACTCCGCCCCCAGGGCTGCTGACGCAAGAGCTCCTGCGCGGGCGGTCCAGGAGCCCCGCTGACGTCAGTCACAGTCGCGCAGTCTCGCTCTGGGCCATGACGTCAGTGACCCGACCCCTCACTCACGCAAGTCCGGCAGCTGACTCTAGTTCTCACCCCCTATGTAGGCTCGAGAAAGTGCGGAGTTCGGACTGGTTCGGGCTTTGGCTCTAGGGTGCAAGGCTAGACCAGGGTCTCTGTAAGTGTTGGGGGGACCTGCAAGTCTGACGTCTTCCGGGGCTCCCCATCCCCTAGACTTGGGTTCAGATTCCTTTGATTCCAGCACTTGGGACTTGGAGTGCTTTGTCCATGCAACCCCAACTGCCCTGTGATGATTCATTTAGCTGTCACTCAACTGGCTCTGGTCCTCCCTTCCTGTGCTCCTGGCTCTGTGCTGAGGCTGGTCACCGAAAAGTTCCTGCTCTTAAGCCAGCCCTCGTGGGGCAGCAGACTGAAAGCTGAGGCAGGAGGATCGCCAGTTCTTGGCCAACCTGGGCTAGACTGAGAGCCTGTGTCAATAAAAAAAAAAAAAAAAAAAAAAAAAAAAAAAAAGCCCCAGCCCCTGATGGGGTAACCGAGCCACATACACGGGGCCAGTAAGAGGCTTGAGTGTTCGGACACACCGAAAGCAAGCAGGTAAGGCCCTGGAGCGTGGGGTCTGTTACCCAAGGTGAATCATGAGGTGGGGCGTCACTGAGTGCTACCACCCGCTCTTAGCATGGGACAGAACCTGGGTTTGAACCAAAGGGGGAGCCGAAATGGAAATAAGGGTGTGGCTGGTGTATGTCATCCCATAGCTGAACTCCGTGGTTGCACTCTTTTAATTAAACATAATTTTAAAAATTGTATGTGTATGAGTGTTTTCCCTGCGTGTATGTAAGTGCACAATGTGTATGCAGTGCCCATGGAGGCTGGAAGAGGGCGTCAAATCCTGTGGAACTGGAGTTACAGTTGTGAACTGCCATGTAGGTGCTGGTAACTGAACCAGGGAGATGATTCAGTGCTCTTAACCCCTGAGCCAGATCTCCAGCCCCTGAAAGTTAGTTAAAAATTTTGTAATTCCATTTATTTATTTCATGTGGGGATGCTACAGCATACTTATATGGAGATGAGAGGACAGCTTTTGGCAGTTCTTTCCCTCCACCATGTGCATCCTGGGAATTGAACACAGATCCTCAGATTTGGCAGCAAGCCCCTTTGCTCTCTGAACCATCCTCTACCAGCTCCCACCTCTTGTTTTATTTGCTGTTTGTTTTTGGAGACAAGATGACAAGGTCTTATGTAACTCAAGCTGGTCTGGAACATCTCATGAGGCACCTGCCTCCACCTCACAAATGCTGAAATGACAGGTGTGTACCATCACAACCAGCTTTGTGGGTGTAAATTCTCAGTGGGATGGGATTGAACATCTACGGGAGTGTATGGTGAGCACCTAACGATGCAGGAGACCCACATAAGAGAAACAGGTGCTGGATATGTACTAGATCTTGTGACTTGTACACCAGAGGGACCCACAGACTGGAATTGGGTAGGTGCCCAGAGTGCCTGGTTGTGTGTCTCCAACATTTCCAGGAGAGGACTTACATACAGAACCTGGGATCCTCAGGACTCCAAGAACAAGCACCTTAAGACACCCTATGTCAGGCCAGGGGTTGTGCGCCCTCGGAGACCGTTGCTCCTGAGGATATAGGCTAGGGGTCATTGCGCACCCCTGGGAGGCCTTCCATCCGGTGATCCACGGCCAGAGGTTGCCCTGGGCCCAAGGGTAGGCCTTATGCCTTGGAATCTAAGTTTAGGGGGCATTATGCACACCAGGGCTTGCCTCCCAGGATCCAGGCCCAAGGTCATCATGTGCCCCAGGGGAGGCCGTGGACTCGGGATCCAGGGCCTGGGGTTGTCCTGCGCCCCAGTACTGAGTTCCGGCCCCTGGGAGCCCCAGGCAGGTTGAGCGGCATCGTGGGGGTGTGGCCTCCGTTGGACGGGGGCTCCGTTTGCTCAGGCTCCGCCCCCCGCCCCTGCGGGAAGGGAAGGGGAGGCGGCGGCCAGCCTGAGCCAGACGCGGCGGCGAGAGCGGCGGGGGCGGCTGGCTGCGGACTTACCGAAGCCTCGGTGCAAAGCCAGCGGGGCCCAGTGGCGCCAGCCGGTCACGTGCGCGGCCCCTCCTCCCGCCTCGCTCTCCATTCATAAATTCTCCGTCTGCTCCGTGGCCACCGGCTCCGGAGCCTCGGGGAGCACCGCGCAGCGTCCCCGCCCTCCCGCCGCCCATGGGCCGCTCGCCCCGGCGCTGAGGTAGGCGGGCCCAGGATGGAGCTGCGGCTGGGGGATAACCACCACTTCCCGCTGGCCCTGCACCGCCGGGCCTTTCCCATCAATCGTGGCCCCCGGGGGAGGGATCAGAGCGTGGGAACTGGCGCTGCACCCCGCCCACCGTCCGCAGCCTGGAGAGGGATCCCGCCTACGCCCTCCCTCGGCCTCAGTTTACCCTGGTGACAGGGCGATGGCGCCTTGGCCTCCTGCCTAGTCCAGGATCAGGACGGACCCGGTATCGGGTTCCCCTCTCCTGCTCTGCGCTTTCCTGCTCCCCAGCCTACTCGGGGGTCTTGTGGGGGGGAGCTCCTGTGGGAACCTCTTATTTAGGCTCCGTTCCCCCTCCCATGTCCTCACCTCCCTTGCCCTGGTCTCCAGCCATCTTCCTGTCGCCTACTGTCACTTCTTACCATGCCCCACCCCCTTCCAGCCTGAACTAATTTTTCCGACCTACATATGTACCCCTCTAATCCCTTCCAAAATGATTTCCCCATCAACCTGTGCCCCAGAGCGCTGAGGACCCAGCTTCTCGGGGGCGGGGGTCTCCTTTCTGGGGCTCAGTTTCTTCCCCCATGCCCCCTCCCAAAAGGACAGGCTATGTTGGAACCTGCGTGCTTTTCTTACATGGGGAAAGGGGCTCGGGTGCACGCGGAGGGATAACTAGAGTGGTCACTGAGACCCCAGTATCGAAGGCTCCTTTGGGGTAGGTCAGGTGCAATTTTAAACAACCCTCTCCCAGAATGTTGCCCCCCCCCACTCCGCCCCAAGACATGCCCTGGCCTCAGTTTCCCCATGTTCCAAGCAGCTACTGAGGCCTGGTGAAGCAGCCATCTTGGCCATGGCTTGGGGCGCCCCTGCAGGCGGCCTCCCCCGCGCCCCCGCCGCCTCCCTCTGCCTGGCAACCCGTCCCCCGGAGCGGTCTGCGCTCCGTCGTCATGGGAACCAGATTTTTCAGGCCAAGAACAGATGCGCATCTTTTGTCCTTTCACTCCCACCAGCGTGGGCACAGGGACCTTTGCCTCTGAAGTCGTGACTGGGTGGGCTGGGGGGGTGTCCCTGGTAAATGCTCATGTGCGCAGTCTTCAATTGGTCCTCTGTCCCACGGGAACTGGGGTCTCGTGTGAGTATATCCTCAATCCCCTTAGCTTCTAAGGGTGCTTGCCCTTTTTCTTGGGCATGACTCCCAGCTGTGCTAACCTTGCTGAACCAGCCACACCGGCCAGCCAGGGAGGTGGCTGGGATGTGGGGACACACACACACACACACACACACACACACACACACACACACGCCCGTCTGCGCACGCGCGATGCCACCTCTTGAGTGCTAAAGATGGCGAAACCGCAGTCCTGGGAATGAAGCCCCCGCATACACTAGGCGCGGAGGGGCTCACGTTGCAGGGCTTGGCCCCCACCTGTCCATGAGTCACCCCGGTGACGGTGATGGTGACTGCTGCTGTTCTGCACGGGGACAAAAAGGGCTGACTTCCAGGGGCTCCTGTGGGGCGGGGCCTGGAGACCTGAACTTCAGCTGGCTCTGTGCCCTACCCCATAGCCTCAAAATGCAGCCCACGGCCACCATGGCCACTGCCACCGCTGCCACCGCCACCGTTGCCCTGACATCATCGTGGGACAATGTCACCAGCCGCCCCACGGTGGGTGACTGCACGCGGTATGGGGTTGGGATGGGAAAATCGTGCTGCAGTGGGGGGCCTTGACACGCTATGTGTGTGCTCCCCTAGGCGGAGCCGGACCCCATCTTGGATAACTACGTACTGCTGGTGGTCGTGATGTCGCTGTTCATCGGGGGCACGCTGGTGGTGCTATCTGGTGTCCTTTTACTCTGCAAACGTTGCTGGGAGGTGCATCAGCGCTTCAACAGGTGCGGGCCCTGGGGACCCAGATGCCCGCCCTTATGCATGCACGCACCACTTCCGGAATGAGGATGTCCATTCCCGCTTACCCCAAGCCTTTTTTCCTCCTCCAGAGCTATGAATGAAGCAGAGAAAACCACCACTACCTACCTAGACAACGGTACCCACCCCGCTCAAGGTGAGGGGGGCCGCGAGGCCCGCAGAGCCCTTGGCTACTGTACTTGACTTAGCCACCCGCCCTTCCCCTTCGGCAAACCCTCCTGCCAGCCCCCTCGGGCCGCCTGACGGTCTGTCTGTCTGTCTCCCCCACCAGACTGGGCGCAGTTCGAGTCCGACTCATCTCTGTTTCCTTAAAGCCCGCCCAGGCGTAGGTGCGCACAGGCGCGTGCTGAGAGCGAGTGAGTGTGTGTGGATGAGCGAGTGCCCGCCGCCCTACCCGGCCCGCCCCATCCTGTCCTGCGCTCACTCGGTCCCTGCAACCCCCCATCCCAGCCCATCCTTGCCCAGCTGGCCTACTCAGGCCTCCCAGCACACATGGGTGTGCGCGGCCCACCCGGGGCCCACCCTCTCTTGACTCTCCCCGTAGACCCCGACTTCAGTGGGGAAGACCCAGAAAACCAGGACACAGAGACCGAACGCTTCCTCTCCACCAGCTCCACCGGACGCCGAGTGTCCTTCAACGAAGCTGCCCTGTTTGAACAGAGTCGCAAGGCACAGGACAAGGGACGCCGGTGAGGGGACCCCAGGGCAGGTCACAGATGCAGGCTTGGGGGGCGACGACGTGGCCACAGGCTCAGGTGGATATTGATAAGTCCAAGCTTGCTGATTTATGCATGTAATGGCAGGAGCAGCCAAAGGCTGAGGCAGGACTGCCACAAGTTTTTGTTTGTTTTTGTCCTTTTGAGACAGGGTCTCCCTATAGCCTCAGCTGGCCTGGAACTCACTATGTAGATCAGGCTGGCCCGAATCTCACAGAGATCCGCCTGCCTCTGCCTCCCGAGTGAGTGCTGGGATTAAAGGTGCTGCGCCACCATGCCGGGCAGATTGCTACAATTTTAAGCCTTGCTTGTGATACATAGTAAGCATCAGGACAGCCATGGGTACATTTCAAGACCAGGTCTCAGAAAAAAAAACAAGAAAAAAAAAAAAAGAAGCTGGGGTGGGGGTTGGGTGTGGTAGCACATGTCTTTAATATCTGTACTCACAAGGCAGAGGCAGCAGGCAGATCCCTGTGAGGTTCAGGCCAGCCTAGTCTACATAGGGAGTTCTGGGCCAGATGGGACTACAGGGAGACCCTGTCTCAAAAAGGAAACAAAACAAAACCAGGTATTGTGTTGGTGTTCCCCACTGGGAGCCTTGAATGGCTAACTAGTGGGGTGACCATTGTAGGTATACCCTAACAGAGGGGGACTTCCACCACCTGAAAAATGCCCGCCTCACCCATCTGCACCTCCCGCCGCTTAAGATATCTACTATCCATGAGTGTGACTCTGGCGAGGCCAGTGCAGCTGCCACCCCCCACCCTGCCACCCCCCCCAAGGACAGCCTGGCCATTTTCCAGGTGAGGGTCGGAGTGGCAGCCAGTCTGGGTGCTGCATGGGGGGCATGGGGGGTGGGCGGGGGAGGGGTGGCACCTGGGTCACCTACCCAAACTCTTTGACCTGGTCCCTGCTTCCTCCCCCACCCTGCTCTGTCCCACAGCCCCGAGGGAAGGCCCTCGCTGGCCGCTCTGTGGGCCCCAGCTCTGCCCTGCCAGGTGACCCCTACAACTCCGCAGCAGGTGCTGCCCACTTCTCGGAGATCAGCCCTTCAACCTCCAGCGACTCTGGGGAAGGAACCTCGGTGAGAGATCCCCTCCATTTCCCCAGGGCACGCCAAGATCCAGGTGCCTTCTCTCCCTGAGTCAATCCACCCACAAGACTTGGTACTGCAGAATCCTTTGTGTCACCCAGGCTGGTGGGAAGTGACCAGTGCTCTGTGTCGAAGGTTCTTCCCTGGAAGGGACAGGGCCCAGGAGGGCAGAGCGGGCCTGAGAGATGTGGCTGAAGGAATGGGGGTGACAGCCACAGATGTTAGTGGGGACCCATATATTGAAAAGGGGCCAGAGAGGGGACTCCATGCCTGACAGTTTCTGTTCTCCCACAGTTGGATGCGGGTTCCCGGGGTGTCAAGTCTGCTGGACCCGGACCTGAGGTGGTGCCCGGGGAGGCAGGCACAGGCTCCTCCGGGGCAGGCACCGTACTGCAGTTCTTCACCAGGCTACGCCGTCATGCCAGCCTGGATGGAGCCAGCCCCTACTTCAAGGTCAAGAAATGGAAAATGGAGCCTAGCCAGCGGGCATCCAGTCTGGACACAAGAGGTAAGGCACCCCTAGGGGCCCCTTGGAGTAGCAGGGGTCACCGGGACCCATCTTGCTAGAGACCTTCAAGCTGGTTATGGAGTCATAGGAACTGGCTGTGGCTAGGAAACTGTCAGGGCCCATATGGTGTCTTTTAACCACTGGTGATGTGAGGCAGGGTCTTCACTGAGTGTGACCTCCCATCAACCCCTTGACCACTGTGCACAGGCATGGAGCCACCTTGTGGTCACTCAATCCTGTCCCCTGTAAGGATTGGTCCAGTCCTTTGGAGTCTTTACTTTGACTTTTCTGAATGGGCTAAAGGGGGAGGAGTGCTCACTAAGCACTTGGGAGTCCTGGAATTCCATCCCAGCACTGCATAAATCAGGCTATCAGGCTATATCATGAATTTCAGGCCAGCCTCCTCAAAAAAAAAAAAAAAAAAAAAAAAGGAAAAAAAAAGGTGTTGAAATAAAACCTAGAGTCAGCAACACTTTTGTTTGAGGGGGTTGCCTTTGTAGCCCAGGTTGGCCTTGAACTCTAAGGAATCCTCCTGTCTCAGCTTCCTGAGTTCTGGGCTGACAGACATCCCGGTGAGCCCTCAAACACTTCTAATGAGATCCTGGACAGTGTTTTGAGACCATCTCAACTGCTGCTGTGGAAAATGACTTTTGTATGCAAATGAGTGTGGCTTTGTGCCAATAAAACTTTATTTACAAAAACAAGCCAAGGGCTGGTTTCCATGGTGTGAGAAGCCTGCCAGCCCCAAGGTATGGGATTGCTAAACTGTGGGGAGGAGCCCCCACTAAACTGCTAAGCAGACACCCTCCAGGGCCTTGCCTGGAAAGAGACAAGTAGGGTGACAGCAGGCTGGCACCCACACCTACCCCACCTCCACGGGACTCCTGCTGTGCAAGGGGAGACCTGTTCACTACCTGGGAGAACTTGGGTTCCCAGATAGAACAGAGATTCCTGGGGGTGGTTAACCAAACCTGTTTGATGGGTGGCTCCTACCCCACTTGCGGCTGTTTGGGGAAGGTCCTGGCCACTGTCCAAGGACTGAGGCATGGGTGGGGCAGTTCCCCAAGTTTCCCAGGATACTGTGCAGCCTGCAGGAGGCACCTCTCTTTATCCTGTGCTGCACTACCCCCCCCACCAGCTGATGCCTCATGTCTGGCCTTGGCACATCTGGTCCATGCTTCAGTTTCCTGAATTGGCCCTCTTCCTACACAGGTTCTCCTAAGAGGCACCATTTCCAACGGCAGCGGGCAGCCAGTGAGAGCATGGAGCAGGAGGAGGATGCTCCCCATGGGGAGTTCATTCAGTACATCGCCAGTGCAGGCGACGCTGTGGCCTTCCCACCCCCCCGCCCCTTTCTGGCCAGCCCCACCAGCCCGCCCCCCACTCTCGGCAGGTATTTTTCAGTAGATAGTGGTGCTAGGGGTGGGCCTGTGGGCCCCTGCCCTGCTCCGTCCCCCTTAGGTGGCCCTGGGACAGCCCTCCTGGCTCTTTGGACACGAACTCGAGTTACCCTGGCCACTTCACGGGGGCTGTCTCTCCAGCACAGACCGGAGGAGGAGGGGAACAGGGAGAGACTGGGTAAGGGTGGGTGGGTAGGTGATGGCCCCAGGGCCTCCAGGAGGAATCGCCTACCTGGATACCGTGGTTGTGGGCCCACCCTGGTGCTGCCAGCTGGGATCTCAGGCCTGAAGGGCTCTTTGGTGGCCCCGGGACCCCTCCCACCTGCCCATACTCCTGAGGGATGGCTTGTTCATTCTCAGAAACTGTGGTGACCCTTCTACTAGATGCAGCCTCCCTCTGCAACTGATCCACAAATCCCCAAAGCCTAAAACCAACCAGCAAGGGGGGGAGGGGGGCGGCGCTTGCAAAAGTGGGTGGGGTGACCCTTGACTCCACCATTCACCTGCATTAAAGCATATGACCAGTGGGGTCAAGCGACCAGCTAAGAAAGCCCACATTGGATGGTGGTTCAGGACCCTCCCTCTCTAGTCCTTTGTCCATCAAGAACTAGGAAGAGGCTGTTTAGGAGTGGTCCACGAGGATCTCTCCATGCCTGTCTTCCCAAGTTGGGCTCAAGTTCAGATCCATCCAATGTAGTCTCTAAGTAGGGCCAATCCCATCCGGTCCTCCTGTTCATCACATGCTAGGATAGGGAGGCTGCATCTAGGGGTGGTTCAGGCTCCATGTGGGTTCCTCTCTGCTCATCTTCCCAAGTTGGACTGTTTCAGGTCCATCCAGTGTAGTCTCCAGGGCCATCCCGTCCGGTCCTGTCTATCACAGGCTAGAAAGAAGGGTCCACCTTGAATTCAGGTCTAGTCTATCTGGCCCTCTTGCCTATCAGACTAGGAAGAGGAGGCCTTATCTAGGGATCCCCTCCACGCCCATCATCCCCGATGCACAGGTGTGTGGCCAGCAGGGCAGAACGCAGCCTGCAGGCTCTGACCAAGTGGGCCTGGCCTTGCAGGCTAGAGGCGGCCGAGGCATCGGGAGGAGCGAGCCCCGAGTCTCCCCCAGAGCGCAGCATCACTTTGGGGCCCGAGCATGCGCAGCAGGATCAGCAGCAGCAGCAGCAGCAGGAGCAAGACACCGAGCATGCGCAGTCCAGCTACCGTGACTTGTGGAGCCTTCGTGCGTCACTCGAGCTGCACGCGGCCACCGCATCGGACCACAGCAGCAGCGGCAATGACCGTGACTCCGTGCGCAGCGGCGACAGCTCGGGCTCCGGTGGCGCAGCCCCGGCCTTCCCGCCCCCGCCCGAGTCCCCGCCCCTGCCACGGCCTAAGGACGGTGAGTCCCGCCGCCTGCTGCAGATGGACAGCGGCTATGCGAGCATCGAGGGCCGCAGTGCGGGCGACGACACCCTTGAAGCCCTCGGCCCAGCCCGCAGTCCTCCCAGCAGTCCACGAGCCTGGCCGCGCAGGCCGCGGCGTGACTACAGCATCGACGAGAAGACGGACGCACTGTTCCATGAATTCCTGCGCCACGACCCGCACTTCGACGATGCGCCGCGCCACCGCGCACGCGCGCACCCCCATGCGCGGAAGCAGTGGCAGCAGCGAGGACGTCAACACAGTGACCCTGGCGGCGCTCGTGCGGCTGCCACCTTCGCCTCTGCGGCCACGCCCCCCGGAGCTGCCCGTCCAGCGCGTGCGCCCTTGCGTCGGGGTGACAGCGTCGATTGTCCCTCTGAAGGCCGCGGCCTAGCGACCGCAGGTGACGACCCAGCCATCCCCGTCATCGAGGAGGAGCCCGGAGGCAGCTGTCCCGGGTCAGGGCTGTGTGTGGAGCCCGCGGGCGCGCTGCTGGACAAGCTGGCGGCCGGCCTCGATGAGAGACTCTTTTCCCCGCGCCTCGCCGAGCACGTGGCCACGGCCCCGACGCTCGTAGCCGCCGCTCCCACGTCCCCCGATCGCAGCCCGGCGTAAGCCACGAATCCCCGACCCGCCTCTCGGCAGCTTCGCAGATTCGGTGCCGCGGGGAGGCCACAGCGGCGAGAGCGGGAGCAACCTGGGCTGCAGTGCAGCCAGGCGACGTATGTCGTCTCGAGTGCGCATGCGCGCAGCTCTGGCGGCCTGGGCGCTCTCCTGATGCACGCTCACAGCCCGCTCCCGGTGCTTAGCGGGTGGCAAAGGCCTCCCGTGGTGCAAGGCTCCAGGAGGGAGGAAAACTGGGCCTTCGAGATCAGAGTCACATCCTAAGGTTGTAGGGTCCAAGAAGCAAACGTATTCACTCTCGGGACACAGACCTCCTGCCAGGACCTGAGTCATCAGCACGTGCTGGTGGCTGCCAGGCGCATGCGTGAACCCAGCAGTAAGTCCAGGGCCGTGGGGCTCTAAGAAAGGAGGACGAGCTCGCTATCTGGGGTACAGGCTGAGCTGCAGCCACCAACCCGCATGTGCACAGGCCCCCTTTGTCCCTCCCCGCCAGCCACAGGCTGCAGATGGACAGATCGGTCTTCGGCAGCTTCAAGTTTCCCAAGCTTTATTTATTGCCAAAAGACGGGGCGCAGCGCCCCTGCCCTGCTCCACCCCCTTGTCTCTGTTGAGCATAAACGTCTCTGCAACTAGCTCTCCGCGTCTTCTCTGCGCCCCGCCGCTCCAAACACCCTCACTGTCCACCTGTCATTGAAAAGGAGCCGAACGAAGGAGGACGGCGAGCTCGGCCAGTGGTGCGACATAAAGTGCATGTGGTGCCTCCGCAGGCGGTTCCGCCTGGTCCTGACAGCTGCGGGGGGGGGGGCGGCCTCAGTGGAGGAGTCACCGCTCAAGGGTGCGTCACCCCAGGACCCTGCCCCCATGTTCTCAAGAGCCCTCACCTGCCCTCATTGCTGCTTGCAGGCAGACAGGCGGCGGATCTTGCTGCTGGCACAGGCCTTGCGTACAGGGTTGGATCGGGCATCAGCCTTGACCCTGCCGATCTCAGTGCCATTCACACAAAGTGCTCGGGGCACGCTGCGGCTCTGCCCATTCTGACCCGCCTCCTCCTCCATGACCTGTCCTGAGGGAAGATGGCAGCCACGACCTGAGCCAGGGTACCCAGCACCCCCAGACCCATAGGTCCAGCCCAGTGTAGCTCCTGGGGTACTTTGTCCAACCAGTGCTGGCATGGAGGCAGCCCGCCATGCTCACCTGCCTGTCCACCCCAGGCTGCCCAGCACTTGCTCAGAGCTCCTGAGGGAAGCTGGGCCCAGGATATGTGCACCACGGGTTGTGCTCAGCCACCCCAGCAGCCTCTAGCAGGGAGTGTGGGTCTACCTTACCTGTTGGCCTGCTATCTTGGAAGAAACACAGAGGTCACCAGTTTGGAAGCTCCTTGGGCAGGGTGGACACACAACCCCGAAGCAAGGTCACTGTTTGCCTCAGACAGCCCCTCTCCCAGGAACCCCATGGTTTCATACTCAGAACCCATAGCTTCCACTCGGCCTCTCATTCTAGGTCCATCTGAGGCTCAAGGTCAGGGTGGACCTTGGGCATGGTCCCCAGAACCCCCGCCACCACCCACAAGGCACTGGGTGGAGTCCTTTGTCCTGTCCCAGGGAAGGGCTCGAGCCCAGGGGTAGACAGCATAGCCAACAGGGGCAGTGGGACACCCAGCTGAGGGCACAGGCTGTGCTCTCCACAGAGCAGTATCCAGGGGACACATGGGCCTCCTGGCCAGCCAGGACACAAGGTGGTGTCCCCAGTCCCTCGATGTAGCCACAGCAGCCCTGCAGGGTCCCCAGACAGAAAAAGTAGTTTCAAGGGCCCACCAGCCCCAGCAGGGGGAGGAGTCCACTCACAGATGTCCTCGTTAGGCACAAGCTAGGGGCTGTCCACTCACACTTGTAGAATCCTGGGGGACAGACCCTTAGGATCTCAGAGGCAGACCCTGTTCCTGTTCCCGCTAGGGAGAAGCTTGTGAAGCTCTGGCCAGACTGGTCAGTGTCCAACTGGACATCAGCTACAGACCTGTCCTGACTGCTCCTAGCTGGCACCCTACAGCCAGCAGGCACCTCCTTCAGGTACCACTCAAGTGGTTGGGGGTAAAACCTCTTGGCGGGGGGCTTCTGAGGTGCATAGGACAAGGGTCCCAAGTGCCCTGGCCAGTGGTCACTCTTCGGTGCCAATAGCCTGTGGCTGGCCTTGGACTGAGGGTGCTGACACCCTGATGGGCAGCCTGTGGGTGGTGATGGGGGAGGGCGGCCGAGTAAGCATGCACGGCAGACACAGTGGGCAAAGTTTTATGGAGGAAGCGGCAGTAGCTGGCTACGCTAAGGTCTCAAGCCCCTCCTCAGGCTCATCTCCTGGAAGGCCAGGGCCCTGGCTCTTCCACATGCATGTGTCGCATGCATCCTCGCTAAGCCCTGCCTTGGCCTTCTCGACACCTGGGAAAGAAGGTGATGCCAGGTCAGGTGCCACTGGGACTGAGGGCCACTGGACCCTCCCTGGGATGTCTGTATCAGCACCTGCCCGCTGCCCTCCAGGGTCCCTGCTCCTGCTGGATGTGACTGTGGCCCTGGTGGCCTGTGGAAAACCAGAGCCCTGGGGACTGGGGAGCAGCCTGAGGGTAGAAGCATGGGCTCCAGTTTGGTGGCCTGGGGGACTCACCAGGCACCGTGAAATCCTGTGTGTAGATGATGCCATCCTCAAGGTCAAATAGCTCCTCATCCTCATCCTCTTCAGTGTGGCCATGCAGGTCTTCCAGGTAGGGCACCACTGTCATGCTGCGCCACCGGTCCTTGGTGTCTGGGCTGGGTGGGATGGGCACCAATGTCTCGGCCAGTGGGTGTTTCTTCCGGAACCAGCTATAGGAGCCCAGGAGCAGCGGGGCCGTCAGGACGCTAAGTTCAGTGACCACTGGCTAGCCACTCACACAGGGCCTGGGACCACGCCACACGGGCTCTGAGACCCCATCACAGTAGCCAGGTCCAGGCTTACACCAATGCTGCCCAATGACCATGGCACCTAGGGCTGGGGTGGACCATTAGAGCGCAGCATCACAGCCCTACCTTCCCCCAACTTCCTCACACCTCAGTCACAGTGTCTTCTCAGATTCAGGGCTCTGCCAGCTGAGGGCCAGGGACAGACAGGGCAGAGGCTCCAGTGCCTCTTGATGGCCTCCATGGCTGTGCCCCAATGTTAGGTTCCACTCTGGGGAGTGGCTATCAAGGTGGGGTCAGGCTGTGTACAGAATAACTGCTGTGCCCTGCCTCATCTACTCCTTAGACACCCCATGTGAGGGAGATCCCCCCCAAATCATGGGCCCTGAAGCATCTGATACCCAGCCACAGTCAAACTCACTCTTGAGTATGCTGTGCAGAGGCAGGGAGACTGGGATGGGCTGGTGCTGGGGGGGGGGGGGCTCACCCCTACCCAGCTCCTTCCCAACCAGGGAGCCCTGTAGTACCCAGCTCACACAGGGACTCCCCAGGCACTTTACACCCCCTCCTGTGTACACCCAGCACCTCCCCAGACCACACACCCTCACATCTATTAGTTCAGAGGTTGAGGCAGTGCTCACCTGTGCTGTCTGATCTGCCGGATGGAGAATCTCTTGGCTGGCTCATATTCCAACATCCCTGTAGAGTGCAAGGGTCAGCATAGGAGTGTGAAGGTCGGTGTGGCAATGCTCACCTGCCCCATGCCACAGCCCCATCCTGCTGGCCTTTCTGGGCTCAGCTTAGAGGCCTGCTGGATTGGACCATCAACAGCAGCTGAACCCAGCACCACCAGTTGCAGAGCCCAAGGAACACAGGATACCCCTGAAGTCCCTGCTCCACTTCCACCTCTGACTTCCTGGGAGTGGCAGGAGAGGCAGCTAGTTAGGCCTATCACAGCTTAGGGCCTAGTGCCAGGCAGTGCCAGGCCATGCAAGGGTCACTGGGGAGATGCCCACCTCGGAGCAGATCTGAGAGTGGCGGACCGCAGTCACACGGGATGGTGAAGTCCCCTCTCCCGATGTTCTCGAACAGCTTGTAGATATTGTCACCCTCAAATGGGTAGAGGCCCGTGGTGATATTGTAACTAAACGGGAGGATAGAGTCAGGCTGGCAGCACCTGAGACTGGGGGGCCTCCCACTCCTGGAGATGAACAAAGCACTGGCACCTACATGGCCCAACACCATAGTCCAAGACACCCACCCTGAGCACAACCCCCACCCCACACAGGGTCCAGTGCACTTACAGCGTGACCCCAGCTGACCAGATGTCCACCTTGAAGCCAGAAAAGGTATCCAGCCCATTGGCGATCTCGGGTGGTTGGAAGGCTGGGGAGCCCTGGCTGGTCCGGCAGGTGTCATCAACGGCAAAGGGGTGCAGGGCCTACAGGGAGGTGTGGATCAGGAGCATCCAGAAAGTCCCCCACCCCCAAAGCCCTGAGCACAGGCCTACCTCGGCAACGCCAAGGTCGGAGATCTTAAGCGTGCCACTGGTGGTGAGCAGCAGGTTGCCTGGCTTGATGTCCTTATGCACAATGCCCTGGCTGTGCAGGTACTCCAGCCCGTCGATCAACTGGCAGAAGTACCTGTGGGCACCACTGCTCAGCCCGGGCTCTGCCATATCATCTGGGAGTCTCACCAGGGGTGGACATTTGGGGACCAGTGGGAAAGCCAGGGCCCACAGGGAACCCTACAGGTCACAGCTGCCCAGCCAGAGGTCCCTCCTATCTCCCTTTGGCTCTGTGGGCAATAGGGCATAATGGCAGACACCCTGAGAGACACCCGGCTTAGTAGTGGCCTTGGGGCATGGGGAGGACATCCTACTGGGCTGGCACTCACCCATGGGCCTGGCACACAGGGAAGCGTTTCTCAGGCACGCTGTCCAACATTTCCTGCATGCCGCACACACAGTACTCCATCACCATATACGTGGGGTGCTAAGGAAAGCAGCATACGACCATGGCCTGTACCCCATGCCCAGCAGCCCCCCTCTCCTCCCCACCAGCCAGGATATATCTTCTGCTTCTCCTCATTGAACAATACGTCCACCAGCTGGATCACATTCCGGTGCCGCAGCCGCCGCAACAGCTGGATCTCCCTGAAACATAGCAGCACTTAGCACAATGGCCCATGGCAGGCACGGATGGCATGGCTGCACACCTCAAACACAGAAAGCTGGGGCCAGCTTTGGCTCACCTGAGACACCAGGCTGCCTCTTAGGGAGAGGTAGAGCACAGTCACCTGGGTACTGCAGCACCTCCTTGCTGGGACCATGGGGCAGTCCACTCCCTCATGTCCTGAGCTTAGGCTCAGAAATCCTAACCACCAGGAATGAGACATGCTGGGGGTTAAAGACGTGCACCACCATGCTGGGCTGTTGTGATTGACTTTTAAACTGAGATTACTTGTTTCATCAAAGCACAGCCATATGCCTTAGAGCTGTGCCAGAGTCCCAGGGCCCCTTCCTGAGAACTCGCCATGTAGTGACCTTGATGGTCACCAAGGCTGGGCTGAAGGTTGGATGAGAGAGGCTGCTGTGGGGTCTGTGAGGCATCCCTTCTCAGGTCTGACACCCTGATATAAGGCAGATGCTCCAGCAAGCACCTGCCCAGGGCCAACACAGTCCCACACTCAGCACTCCCAGTAGCCATGAGTTGAGGACAGACCAACATCCAGAATGACAGACATGTTACTCAGTCTACCCACACACTGGAATATCACACAGCCCTGAACAGGAGGAGCAAGGACCTGACACGCAGTGTAGAGGGACCCTGAGGACATTGCACTCACTGAGACCTAGACAAAGAAGGCCACACAGTGTGGGGATTCCATGACAGGAAATATCCAGAGCCAGAGAATCCACAGACAGAAGTGGATATGTGGGTGCGGGGGGTGGGGGTGCTGCAAGATGCTGGCCAAGAGTGCTGCTAGGGTGACAGTTCTAGGGACAGGGCTTCCTTTGCTGTGACAGAATGCTCTAGCACTAGACTATAGCAATGGCCACATTGCATGTTCTCCACAAAGCTGGACATAGTGGGTGAACCTCCTGTGTCATTAATAACAAGCCTCTGCAGGGTGGATGCACCTCTTCCAGGCCTGCCCTCACTGCCCCAGGTCCCACTTCTTCCAGAAGTCTACCCAGCTCCCAGGTGTCCATCCTATGTCATAGGCCCAGTGTGGAAGGCAGTGGTGTGAAGGGCTGAGGCACAGGCTGGAGGGAACACAGGGCTCGGCTCGGCTCCTGGCTGGGCAGCTCACGTTATTTATGGAGCTGGCAGGTCTGCGTCCCCAGCCTGGTGGATACCCAGGGCCTCTAGGGGCAGGATGGGGCAACTGGACACTGTAACAGCTCTTCCTTAGCATGGCAGCATGAGAAGCCTCAGCACTCACCCTAGCCCACCCTCTGTCCCTGTGAATCACAAACTGGAAGGCCAGTGGCACCGTAGGTGCTGTCCCAAAGCCTCGGTGCCTACCTCAGGGGTCCTGGGGAGTCTCCTCAGTGGTGCCCGGGACCAGGCTAGCGCTCAGACCTGGGGGCTGGGCTAGCCATATGCTTCATCTGCCAGGCTGTCACTGACCCACGCCAGGCTGCCAGGGAGGGGATGCCACCAAGGTTTGAAGCCCAGTGGGAGGATGGGAAGCTGAAGTATAAACACCCGCCACACACCAGGCTCCACCATGCCAGGGCTAACCCTGGCAATCAAGGCAGGGGACACATCAGGGAACATGAACTCCGCATTTGGTCACCTTCACCTACCCTCAGGCTGCCTGGACACCAGCTCCCTGGCGCCGACATTCAGGGCCTCAGGAAGGGCTAGGCAGAGATCCCAGAACAGGAAGGCCTCAGTCTTACCCCCAGTCTTGGGGCCCTCTCAAAAGGCCAGGCAGCCCCAACTGTTGGAACTCCAACCCCAGCACTGCCCACAAGACCAGGGTGTTCTGGGGGTGTGTAGAGTCCACATCCCAGTGGTGACAGCCACAGCCCTCTAGAACTCGGCCACTGCTGCCTCCCTGGACAGCATGATCTGACTCCCCTCTAGGCCACAGAGTGGCTGTGGCTTTAGCCCTGTTCACAGTCACCACTGAGTCCTCCATACACATGCCCTGTCCAGCAGCTGTGACCAGTTCATGTCACATTCTGGTATACATACATACACACACATACACATACACACACACACACACACACACACACACACACACCCCACAACAGCAGCCTTGCCAGTGTACTCCCTGCAGGTAAGAGCCCCTCAGAGCTCCCTGGTACCCCAAATCCCCCCTCCAACTCCATGCCATGGGTTCAGGTGCTCACAGGCTCCTGGGCCCCAGCGCTGGCATCCTGTGACCTCACAACAGGGTCAGTACACACTGGTGCAGGACAAGGCCCCAATAGGAACCAAAAGTACCATCACGCAGCCTTGCCAGTGTACTCCCTGCAGGTAAGAGCCCCTCAGAGCTCCCTGGTACCCCAAATCCCCCCTCCAACTCCATGCCATGGGTTCAGGTGCTCACAGGCTCCTGGGCCCCAGCGCTGGCATCCTGTGACCTCACAACAGGGTCAGTACACACTGGTGCAGGACAAGGCCCCAATAGGAACCAAAAGTACCATCACAAGGCCTCATGCACCCTGACATTTTTCCAGCCTCCTGCCCAGGCTGCCCAACCTCCCTAGACACCGCTCCTGTTCATACTGACCTGCCTAGACAAGGCACCCAGGGCCTTAGGCCCACATGGGCCAGCAACACTGGCCACATGATGGCCCTGGGACTGAGAGGAATCAGCCAGAGGCAGGAGGATATAGAGTTCAGGACCAGCCTCAACTAGAGATGTTAAATGTGGATGAGGACCCTGCTTTGCTATAAGTCAGAGAACCTATACACCCTGAGCTTCAGCAGATCAGCCCTCTGCACTCTCTGATCACAGGAAAATGTAGGGTGCACTCTCCCAAAATTCCACCTTCCCACCAACCTGCAGCCACTGGGGAAGAGTGGCCAAATGGTAGCCTCCCCACATTGGCTCCGCCCACTTCCCCTCCTCAAGTCTCACAGTCTGGATCCCCTGAAGAGAGCCCCAGCACTCCCCAATGCTGTGCCTTCCTCTGGCACCCAGCTGGGTACAGATGTGTCTGCAAGATGAATGACTCCAGGAGGCCTGACAAACCTGCCACTCCTGGGCATGGCTAGAGACCTGTCTGCCAGTGGCCTGGGCTCTCCTTGCACTCCAAAACTAAGCAGTTGAATCAAAAGCCTGTGCATGTGCGTGTGAGCATGCACCTGTGTCTGCGTGTGAGTGAACAAACAACTGTGTCTGTGTGTGCTGTGTAGCTTTGGTTGTCAACTTGACACACCTGGGTTGAGGGAGCCTCAATTGGGAATTTCCTCCATTGGACTGGCCTATATGGCCATGACTGTGGGGCATTTTCTTTCTTTTTTTTTTTTTATGGTCTTTTTGAGACAGGGTCTCCCTGTAGCCACAGCTGTCCTGGAACTCACTATGTAGACCAGGCTGGCCTTGAACTCACAGAGATTTGCCTGCCTCTGCCTCCCAAATGCTGGGATTAAAGGTGTGCGCCACCATACCTGTTTTTTTTTTTTCAGTATTTTATTATTTTTATGTATATGCGTGTATTGCCTGCATGTAGGTAAGTGCACCCGTGTGGTGCAATGTCCTGGGAGGACAGAAGAGACTGTCGGATCTGATCCCCTGGAACTGGAGTTACAGACAGTTGTTAGCTGCCATGTGGGCGCTGGGATTTGAACCAAGGCCTTCTGCAAGAATAGTGCTCTTAACCACTAAGCCATCTCTCCAGCCCCTGTGGAGCATTTTCTTGATAACTGATGGAGGTGGGAGAGCCCAGCCTACTGTGAGTGGTGCCACCCATAGGCAGGTGGGCCTATGTTGTATAAGAAAGCAGGATGAGCCTGGCGTGGTGGCACACACCTTTAATCCCAGCTCTCGGGAGGCAGAGGCAGGTGGTTCTCTGTGAGTTCAAGGCCAGCCTCGTCTACATAGTGAGTTCCAGGATAGCTGGGGCTCCAGGGAGACCCTGTCTCAAAATCAAAAAAAAAAAAAAAAAGGCAGGATGAGTGCCAGGGGAGCAAGCCAGTAAGCAGCATTCCTCCATGGCCTGTGCTCTAGCTCCTGCCTCCAGGTTCCTACCCAGAGTTCCTACCTTGGGCTCCCTGATGAGCTGTGACCTGAGAGATGTAAGCTGAATAAACCCTTTCCTGTGCAACTTGGTATTGGTCAGTGTTTCATCACAGCAATGGAGAAACAAACTAGAACACTGTGTGGCAGGGTGTGTGTCTCCCTGGGTACATTTGAATGAGGTGCTGTGCTTGTTAATATACATTATCAATGTGATAGGATCTAGAGACCCAGCGAGGACCCAGGCCTCAAGTGCTGTCTGAGGGATGGCTAGGCTATGTTAAGCCGGAGCAGGCCCACTCTGGAGGAAGGCGGAGGTCCTAGACAAATGAGGTGCAGAGCTGAGCCCAGCACTCTCTGCTTGCTAACTGGGGGTACAATGTGACCAGCTGCCTCTACACCTGCCAGCAAGCTGTCCTGTCTTGACAGCCTAGACTCTGGAGCTATGAGCCAGCTACTTATTTTCTGGGTCTTTGGTCAGAGAAATGAGACAAGTGACTAGTACGAAATCACAGAATACTGATAGCCAAGGTGGTAGGGAATGAATTTAATCCTAGCACTTGGGAGGGAGAGGCAGGCTGATCTCTGTGATATGGAGGCCAGCCTGGGATACATCATAAAACCCTGTTCAGAAGCAACAGAAAATAAAACAAAGAGAAGCTTGCTTGGGAGGGGGGTGGGTGCTCTGCACACCCAGGGCAGTCAGGGAGGAAGTTATAACTTCCGGCTTGAACCCTACCCCTGCTGCCCCACCCCAGTGTGGACCAAGGGGCTGCCCTGAGTGGCACAGGCAGGACAGAGAGTCATGAACCTGCCAAGCTGCAGGGACAGGGGCAGGAGGTGGACAGAGGACACCAAGTGATTCCAGTTCTAAGGGCAGCATAGAGCTTGGTGGCACTTGCCTCACATGTGGAAGACCCTGGATTTACCCTCTGCTTGACAGAAAGATAA